CGGACTTTTACCCCGTGCGGACTTTTGCCCCCGTCTACCCTATATTTCGTTTTTTGACCATAACGTCCTTAATTTTAAAATGTATTTTTTTGTTTTCACTGATCGATTGGTAGTTTTTATACAAGTAACACATGTTTTTTACATTTTTGAAAAAAATTATGAAATTTTCTAAATTAGGATAAAAATTAAAATTTTAAAAAACACGCGCCTTTGCGAGTAAAATTTAAAACCGATTTAAAAAACGGAGATTTTTCTCACGAAATAAAGGAGTTATGATCAAAATAAAATTTAAATAATTGCCACTGATTTTTGCTGCCATCGCAAAATCCGGCGGATTTTTTTAGAACTAAGTAGACTATGAAGACTATTTCTATTTAACAAATGTATCGATGACGAAAAATAAGAAGGTAATCTGACGAAATGACCGTTTACAAATAAAAATAGACGAGCTAGAGGATATTTCTATAAAGTCGCCGGTTTACGAAATAATATGAATTTATTTATTTCATTGAAAACATACTGCATATAAATTTTGTTTTTGGGAACTTTGGCTCCCTCAGTTTTGCATTTATCGTCGTAGCATAGTAATCCAATAAGATATATAATTATTATAGAAAATATTGTTTGTAAACTAAAAATTTTGTACGAAACATTTTCTACTACGACGCACCGTTTTCGCGAAAAATCGATTTCAATTTTTATCTTCTTTTTCATTGTCACCTCCCAAATAGCACACAACATCCCCAGGATATCCTGTCAATATCCTATTCATAGCGGATATCCCGGGACATTCCTCGTATATCCTAAAGATATAGCAATACCTATATACCTCGTATATACGAAAATTTATATACTAGGTATATCCTATATACATATAACGAGGACTTGCCAGCTTAGTTCTAGATGCCGAGGCCAGTTTCTTCTTTTTTTCTTTGGAATATTATCGGATCGGAAGAGATTTTAAGGTTATATGTTTTCAAATAATTTTTAGAAGCGAAGCGTGTGTAGTGCATAAAAACGATAATTGTGATCATATTGTGCAATATTGTGATTGTTCGTTCAGGTAGGTGCAGTATTAAGTATAAGTATAAACAAATATTACATGCGAGCCAAACGGCAAAAATTTCGGAATAAAACGTTCCGTTAGAACGTAAGTGAAAGTGTGGTTTGTAGTTCAACTAAAAATGAACTTTTTTTACATGCCAAATTCGGAGGCACTGTCAGTGAATTGCAACAGTTCCTCTGAAATTGAAAATAATGAAACATTGGAAATAGTGTTAACACCAGATATCCAATCATGTTCTTACACATTTAATAACAGCTCCTTGAACAGTATAATCACAAACACATCTACTCAAATATCCAATAATTTATCCCCAGAACATACCGAAGCTAATGTTTTGCCCAGATCTCTTGCTCAATGGGCAATTAATTATAATATTACTTGTCAAACGATTCAACCCTCTCATGACAAACACTGTTTATGTACTAAACTAAAATGCACAGGAAAAAATATTTTTGCATCAACGATTTATTGCTATTTGTTCTCTTGTAAATTGTATATTCATCCTTAAATTATGAATGTTTGTTTTTTGCAGAAGCAGATAAGAGAGCAAAAATATCAACGTCAAAAAAAGATTGGGAGAAGTCAATTGCTGCATGGCTCAAGAGGGCGAAAGAGCGGCAAGATAGGACACACAAACAATACTTTTCCCATTCAAAAACATGATTTTTTTAAATATTTAAAATAAATAAAAATTTGAATGAACATCTTTTTTATTCATAAAATATTAATCTATGTACCCTTTAAGTATCCTTTTAATAGCGTATGGCTGTAGTGCAGTGTATATCCCGAGGATAAAGTATACGGGATATCCCGGGGATAAAGTATTGGGATATACCGAGGACGTCCCGTTTTTTAACATTGTATATCCTCAGGATGTACTAGGGATATCGCATAGCCGAAACCGAATATCCCGAGGATTAGACTAATGTCCCATCGGATATCCTCGGGATATCCCTGGTACAGACTTGTGCTACCTGGGCTAACATTCATGAATTACAATCGCGTAAAAATATTTTCTAAAATTACGACTTTTCTTTCTTAAATTTCGTGTCTTAATAATGGTTAAAACAAACTTACTTTCGTCAACTCTAACCATTCTGATCCACCGGGATGTCTCTCCACAAATTCTGTTAAATCGTAAAGTTCATCGTGTATCCTCCATAATCCTTCTGCACCATCAATGTTCTGTTTCTCCTCTAACCATAGGTCAGTCGTTAAAGAAGAACCCCTTGTAGGAGGGGCTATAATCCCTAAGGAAGAAACGGGCACATAATTCGACCGAGAAGGCATAACAACGTTTAACTAATAAAAGTAATGTCTAATAAAAAGAATTGCCTATAATTTATTTATATCTTGAAAATTGTTTATTCATTGTTTATTTGACTTTAGATATTACAATATCAGCATGTTTATAGTTGCACTATCAGTTCATTGACTATATTATGAAATAACTAGTATTTACATAAATTTATATGGATTTGAGAAATTATGGAATTATACGTCAATAATAAAGATCGTTTCTTTGGATAAAAAATTTAGAACTGACAACGAGCAACATCTCCAGAACCAAAAAAAAGATCAAAAATTACTTAAAATCGTTTCTAAGAAACTACTTGTTGAAACTATTTAATTACTTATCTAATGTAAAAATCTCAATTAAACACATAAGGTTGGTTATTGCCGTTCAGTTATTTTAAATCGAGCTTCGCCGTGTTAGTTCGAAATATTTCATTGTGAAGGTATAATACGCCGCATCAGTGTGACGTCAGTGAGCCAAACAAAAACAACTGTATGTCATTAATTTTAAGAGAAACGAAGTAAAATTGGCACTAGTTACAGGAAAATCAAATTCCATTGAGAATTATAGTGACAGTATTTTTTTAAGTGCATTTTGTTCGTTTTGTTTACCTAAATTATATTGTTTTTAAACTTTTCTAAATATACCCAGACAGCACACCAAATCCTTTGGATATCTACTGGACATCCCAATATCCACTGAATGTCCAGTCCATGGTGGATATCTATTTTATATCCATGGGATGTAATTTATAGACATGCAAATGTCTATAAATAATAGTAATTATATAGCAAATTATTAAAAAATTACGCCATTGTGCTCGCCATTGTGGCTAATAGTTCCATTCAGATATTTAAAATTAATTTTTTTAAGGTGTATTCAATATCCCATGGACATCCACTAAATATATCAAAGTCTAGGCGCGAACGTAAACCATAGTGGATATCCACTAGATGTAATTGTTGATTTTGCTTACTAAGTATAGATGGCGATACCACTTTCGCATCTACTCATGCTCAACCCGCCGTAATTGAGTTCGATCGAAATTCGTTTCACAATCAGACTCCATTAGAGACTGGAGTAGAGAATTTCCATTTATTGCTGAAGAGTCCTAATAAGGATGATTTTCTTCCTAGTGGGCAAAATCAAAGGCAGAGTGTTGAAAATATTTTGAGTTTTGAAAATAATGTTTTTTATCTCTGCTATTTTCTTTCGACGTTATTCAATAATCATTGGTTACTTATGAACTTCTACTAACAATACCCATAAAATATTTTGCTGAATATCCGAATATCTTCTATATCCTGGGATATAGAAGGACATTTGGTTGGATATCCATATTGGATATCCACAAAATATATATTCTGTGGATATCTCTGGGATTTCTTGTATTGTCTGGAAGATACCCATTAGATATTTTGCTAGATATCAATAGGATATCTTCTATATTCTGGATATAGACGGACATTTGGATATCCATATTAGATCCACGGGATATTTCTGATATCCTGTGGATATATTGGATATCCACAAAAGATATTCTGTGGATATCTCTGGGATTTGGTTTGTTGTCTGGGTATTTATAGAGTAAGTAGAAAAGTAGATAACATGCATCAAGTATATAATCATTTATTAACAAATTAAAACCAATTTAAACAACTTTTTACGACCTGCAAATAATATTTAATGAAAAAAATTAGAACGGTAAAAACGTACATGGTAAATATATTGTTTGGTTAGAATGAACTATCAGTGGAACCAAAATTATGTCACTCTTTTATGGCGTATAAGAAGGATTATGAAGACTAAATAGAAGGAGGCGAATCGGCAATGATGAAATTTGAACTTTCTGTCCTTCTTTTCATAAAGTTTGCTAAATTGACTGCAGTTGGTACGTCGAACGTCACTGCAGTTCATTTTATATACAAGTCAATGTAAAATGAAGTGATTTTTTAAAAGATTGGTGAAAAGAATCAAAATAATGTGAAAAAAGTACCCGAATACAAGTAACATGAGTGACAAAAAAACATCAAAGTAAGATTTACTTCGTTCCAGATTGTAAAACGGGATACAAATCAGATGTAGAACTAAAGAAAACACAAGGAGAAAACAATTCAACGTCTTTTTAAAGCTTCTAATGTAAGTAAAATAATGTATTTATGTCTAAGTATAATATTTATTGTAAACTAGTCACCACACGTATCACGGAGTGTAGTTTATTTTATTACAAGTTTATATAAAATAAAATTTTGCAGTCATAGATTCTGACTTACAAACAACAATAATTATGCATTAAATTTAACTTACTTAGTAAGAAAATTTGTTTTTTTAAAGAGTTTTAATGTTAGATAAAGAGTTGAACCCCAATTTTGTCATTGTAAATGTTTCTTATAGGATCCTAAACGCTTAAAACAGTGGCAGATTTTATATCGTTCCTAAGGCCGATTAAGCCGATGATGCTCTACACTTTTTAGAAGATATATTTCCAAATGTTATGAGAATCTCTTTACTGATGGTACTGTTAGCAAAATAAAAAGGGGAAAGCCTAAATTACAGGATGAGGCAATATCATGTACTGTGACGAAGTCACTAAATTTTATTTTTAATTAATTTTAAAAATGTATATTTCAATTAATTCCCGCCTGAGGACATATAGAAGATCCCCGTATTTCTGTTTCCCAGGAATTACCGTTTTTCAACAATTGCGAGTACCCTCGTAGGTTAAAATATTCCTGTATTTGCCGAAATCCGAATGGGCATTTTGTAGAGTCGATTTCATACCAATTATCTACTTTTATTTGTCAAGATACTAGAAGGATATTTTTTTTATTTTTAAATTGTAAACAGTCGGCTGTAGTGGTGGTATTCCCCACTCCAGTTTACCGGTCTTCAAGCTTGCCCAGCGAAAAAGGATAAAACTGAGAATTACCCTCTCTTGATTTCCGGCAACCGTAAGCTCTTCTCTCTCCTCCAGTGGCGAGTAAAGTACTATGTGAATGACTGTGATATTGATAGAATACTGAACAACCCCGTTTATTTTTCTAAGGTAGGAAACCGCAAATTATTTTTTTATTTACAATTAGTTTGGGACACTCGTCCGACAAGTGAAAAATTTTTGATTCATACCCAGGATATTTCATTTCATCCCTTAGTGGGAAACCGTTGTCAATCTCTTTTAAGAAGCGAACAGTATTTTTCACTTTATGTAAGTTTCTTTTCTTTTATTTATTCATTCAATTGTATTTGAATCATTCCGTTCCCCGTCCACAACTAATTATTGAACGAAGCCCGACGTTTTCTGTAAAATTAATTCACACCGTTTTAATCGACTTTGGGCAAATCTCAAAATAATATTTTCTATCGCCATCGCCTTCGCTGTACAGTACATAAACTGATTTTAAATCAAAATTGATGAATGAACTGAAATTTAAAATAAAATCAATATAATTAAAACGGTTTTATAACATTCCTTAAATAAATAGTACTTTTGTTTGGAAGGATTTAAGTGTGTTCGGAAAACAGCACTGGGACTGTGTTTCTGTTTCCGCTATCGCGCGGGCCGTGCCGATGCTATTTCAAATAAGTTAATCTCGAAAAATTCTTATTGAAATATTGTTTTTGAGAGGTCATTTTAAGGTTCAAAAAAGGAGTGTCCTTTTCAAAAAAGAACTGTCCTTTTCAAAAAATTGAAGTTTGGGGATTTCTAAACGGAATTTGAATTTTTTTTATTTTTTATTATAGTATGTTATAGTAAAGCTTATAAATAAATGCCTCGAGAGATGTATAAAGAAATGCTCTGGTTAAAAGTATGTTCTAGTAAGCTTATAAAGAAATGCCGTAAATTAACCAATTTATTTTAGTAAAATGGCTGACCGTTTCCATTTAATCAAAATCTGCTTCATCCATGTTTATGGTCCACAAAGTCGCATACGTAGACTACTCCTGTTGAATTCACCTGACATTTGTCGTATTCTGTTTTCAAGAATACACTTTTTAAAATAACCTAGTTGCTATTCGACATTTTACTAATCTCGCATGCGAATCGTGGTATTCGACATTCGAGAATACTACCCCTGACATCCCCCGACTATCTAATCTATGGTTTCCACTTTGCGCATTGCATCCCTAGGTTGCCATATCCCTAGTCGAATATAAGCGAGTTCGGATAGTCAGGGGCTGGAGCGGGACAAATTTTAGGGTGCTTTTAAATGACATTTAAGCGTGTTAAACCCTCAGATAAATAAATAAATAATAGATACAGCCCTATCATGCAATATTTGTAACCAGCATCTCCTCTCACTATATAGCAGTGGTTACACGACTTGATTGGATATTCGCAATTTTGGTTACACACCTGATTGGTTAGCAAAAAATTGACAGGACTACGATAGTTAGGTTAGTTATTTTATGGTTATTTTGTGGTTTATTTTGAGTTTATTTCGTACTTTAATTGAAAAATGTTTGTGGTTTAAGTTATTTTAGTGCATTTAATTGCTTAAAAATGCCAGTGAATTGTATTGTGTGCTCGAGAAAGTATCTCAAGTTCAGTTCGATAACGTTTCATAGGTAAGTAAATAAAAACCATTACCGTTGCATCACACTTTTTTGAGGGGTATCATAATTCAAAACAAGGTTTAAACAACAACAATTTATTTTAAAATAACATTCAACGTCGAATTTCGAATTATTTTATTGTGCCTGTGTTTAATAACTTTGAATTTATTAATAGGCTATCTTTAAATTAAAGTTATATTGTTATGCACACTGTACATTTAAGAAGGCTCTAGTGGCATTTACTTTAGTTATAAAATCTTAGTATTGCTTTATTTTAATGACAAAATATATTGTTAGAACACTATAGTTATTTTAAAGTATACTATGTTGCATTCTGTATTACATGAAATCCTATATACCTACCTATATGAATAAGAAAACGCTATTTATACCTATTTAGGTTTCCAAAAGATCCTCAAACTAGATATATGTGGATGAAGAGTTTGGGTATACGTGAGGATGAAGAGTGTATTCAGTAGAATTTGTTCAAGACATTTTGAGGATTCTGCCTTTGCTAAGTCTCCAGGAGAAAAAATGTTTTTAATGAAAGGAGTAATGCCCTTATTTTACTCACATCCTGAAG